ATATATATAAATAAGGACAAATGAGAAAGTGTCTTAAAGAACACTTTATATTTAGTAGATGATTTGACTATTTCAACTGAAAGCAAAATGACAGAAACAGTAAACACATATGGACCTTTTTTTGGACTATGCAATGATGCCATAAAAATGACGCCACCTAAATGACATCTAACCTACAGATATTTCCTAATAATACGCCAAAGGTCAATTTTCAGTAATATTTTTCTCTGTTCTTCCACAAAATTTTTATTGCAAAGGCAGAACTCAGTAAATGAAAAGAAGTTACCTAGAAGGCTCTATCTTTATAATTATGCTAATTATAATTCTTTTTTTATTTTAATCAGTAGTGGTTTTCTTAAGCTTTTAAGTAACCTCTACACTCATTGTGGGGCTCCAACTCCTTACCTGGATATCAAGGGTCACAAATCCTACACTGAGACAGCCAGGCACCCCAACTAATTATAATTTTTGTAACAGCTCTTTGTTAGTCTCAGTACCACATTTTAAAATATGTAGTCTTATCCAGCTAGTCAATTGCAGGTAACAAATTACTGGGAAAATATTTCTATTACCTAGCAGTCGGAAAATTAAGTGCAGTTCATCTTCCACAGTTGATCCTGGAAATAGAGGTCTTCCAGAAGCCATTTCAAAGAAAATGCAACCAACACCCCTTTAAAATATATCATAAAAAAATGAGCAATCAATCCATTTACATATTAAGAAGCACAATTATCTTTTCCTTAAGATTGCCTTTCTGGAGAATTTTGTATTAGCCTGATGGAAAACCTCCTGCACATATTTTTTTCAGCTCCAACTGATTTGTTAACATTTATCTTATTTGTCTCAACTTCCATCTTGCTATATCCATTGCTCCATGAGCCTTAAAATGTCCAACTCTCCTCTGCACGTCCCTTGAAGAATAACACTAACAATAGCTAATAGTGATTGAATGCTTATTATGTCTTAGGTAGCAGGTAGCAGAGATAGGGAGAAACAAATGATCAGAGATGGGTTTTTTGTTGTTGTTTTTTATCTGAGAGACAGATAAAACCATGAGATCATGACCTGAGCCAAAATCAAGAGTCAGGTGCTTAACTGACTGAGCCACCCAGGCACCCCTCATGTGTTAGAACTCTTTAATTGTTGCTTATATTGTGGCTCTTTAAAATAATATCCTCTTATAAGTCAGATATCTATCAGTATGCCCTGTACCAATGGCTATATTCTTTCAAAATTATAAATGGCAATAACATGTGCATATATTTACCACATGTCAATCTGTGTTGAGTACTCTGAGGAACCAAGAAGCACATCAGGCGGCCGGTACCACAGTGTGACGACTTCATTTGAGTAGGTCTTTGTGGGAACTGACTTGGCTCTGGCTAGCCCTTCACGGGGAAAAGAAAACAATTAAGAAATGGCTGTAACAGAATCCCCAGCCCATAGCCTCACCATGACTCCAGTCACAAGGATGTCCAAGATAGCTGCTACTCTGTAGTTTCTTGAAATTTAACAAAATCAGTTTTAAGAATTTTTCTTGAGTGTGAATAGTCTTGGGTCAGCAAATCCTTATGTAATTAATAACAATTCCACAATCAGAGCCTATGCTTGCTTTTATGAATGTGAAGGCATCTGATAATCTGATGGGTTAATCTAAACTTAAGATATTGTTCTTCTATGAATCATGATGCCAAAATTATTTCCAAGCTGAACTTAAAATTAACACAAAACAGGTCAATGACACAGAGATAAACAGTTTTACCTTTTAGGCTTTTGTTACTTTTTTAAACCCAAGTCCAATTTTCATTTGCTATACCAACTTTCGTTTTCTTGGAATAAATTACACTGCTGCTGTGTACCTTAAATTATATATAAGGACAGTTTTAAGTAAGATGGACCATGCTGCCTTTGGATATTATTAATTAATGTATTAGATTATTAACTAATGTAAATGTCATTCCTTTCCAATTTAAAGTGGAATTCACTGATTATCGAGAAACAAAGGCAAGAGTTCACAACTTTATCCCTTGAGCCACTGGCACGAGAGTTGTTTTTACTTCTCTAAGCCTCCAAATTCTAATAACTTTAAGAAGCAACTTTAAAAGATAGCTGAAGAAATATAAACTCATTCTAACATATAGTTTATTTCAAATAACTCATTTATGTATAACTTTATATATTCGATTAAAACATTAAATAAGAAAAATGGAATTCAAACAAAAGGAATTCAACACTTCAGTAAACTAGATAAAGTCACTCAAATAAAAGTAGAAATTTTAATAATTAGGCAGCACTCATACTATTTTTGTTTAGTACAACAGCTAAAGGGTGTAATTGGAACAATGTTGACACTATCTTATTTAATTACCAGTCTTATTCTACCAATCCAGCTTTGTGAAGTAAGTTCAACAAATAATTTTCCTACCAACTTTGTAATTAGCAAGATGGGGGCAACTTTCTAATTTCTCTTCCTGATATTCATAGTGGGTTATTTAGGGGCAAAGGACAGGGCTACAAGTTTGTTTATTCTATATCCTGTATGGATAGCATCAAAGCAACTGCAAGTTATAGTTTCCTCAATACCTTACTCTCCTGCTCCTGAGAGAATTCTGAACTGGGGTGCTTGTTCAAATAGTCTCCTGGTTCACAATTAGAATTTCAGTAGTGGCATGAAATGAAATCATCTCTTCCAAACCAAGTTAACTGTGATATGATATAATTATACAAGCCATTTTCTACTACTAATGAAATGTTTGTAGTAGTATTAGTACATTCTACACCTGAATTTCATCCATCACAGGAAAAGGGATAGAATTTTCATAGAGATCACAAACAATTTACAAAAAAAATACTCGGGGTGCCTGGGTGGCTCAGTCAGCTAAGCATCTGACTTTGGCTCAGGTCATGATATCGCCATTCCTGAGTTCAAGCCCTGTGGCAGGCTCTGTGCTGACAGCTCAGAGCCTGGAGCCTGTTTCAGATTCTGTGTCTCCTTTTCATTCTCTGCCCCTCCTCCACTCACACTCTGTCTCTCTCTCAAAAATAATAAACATTAAATAAATTAAAAAAAACAAAAACAAAACAATACTCAAAGTTGTATGACCCTCCTTCACTTGCAGTCCTGAAGGATATTTACTACTTGACCAACAAAAAATAAGTAATTAAAGCAGAGCCAAAATTGACTGTACTACCTCATGGAATAATCAGAATTTCTTACTGACCTGTGAAAAGATATAATTTACTTGGTCTGCTTTGTTAGAAGCAAGATTTAAAGCACTCTCCCCAAAAGGTAAGTTTTTGATGGCCTTTGCCATTTTTTTTTTTTTTTTTTTTGCATTTATAATAGCCAAACAGGGTTTCTCTATCACTGCTATTCGTTTTGGGATTAAGGAACAAGGAGCAGTAAATGCACTTTGGCCAAAAAAAGAATGAAAGAGAGAGAAAATAACAATTATAAGGAAAGCAACAACAAAACTGTGCCCGAGACTATATAATCTATGTGAGCATATATGAATAATTTGTAATTTCTTATTTAAACACATGTGAACTACCCATTTCCTTTTTAAGGAAGTAAAAACAAATACCAATCTACTTTCAAACAAACAACAAAGTGTTAAATGAGTAAAAGCATAGGAATTTCCTGAACAAACTCACCACTTAGTGAATTTTTAATCTTTTGTTAACAAAGCAATACTTGAGAGACTTAAAATTGTCAAATTTAATGCAATACTCCAAAAGTAAAACTACTATAATCACTTATGAAAAATGATAAATGCTAATTATGAAAACTGCACTGGCTTTTTATTACTTTTTTTTAAATTTTTTTAATGTTTATTTATTTTTGAGAGAGAGACAGAGCACAAGCAGGGGAGGGGCAGAGAGAGAGGGACAAGGAATCTGAAGCAGACTCCAGGCTCTGAGCTGTCAGCACAGAGCCTCACATGGGGCTTGAACTCACAAACTGTGAGATCATGACCTGAGCTGAAGTCAGATGCCTAACTGAGCCACCCCTGCACCCTTGCACTGGATTTTTAAAACCAAATTCTATTAGAGTACTGAAACTCTCAAAATGTAGAATATTAAAAAAAAAAATCAAAAATCAAAACAAGAAAGCTACTATACAAAGTTTCTCTAATATAACAAAGTTTACTTCCTAGAAGCATAAAGCGTATGTAATTTCATTAAAACTGATTAGCTAAACAGAGAGAGATAAACAGCTATTATTTAAGCAATAATTAATTAGTTAATAAGCATATAAATAAGTACAAAGTCATGGTGACAGGCATATTAAAGAACCCTTTTTCAGAAGTGGCATTTAAACTCTTTAGTCTCAGGACTCTTTTTATTATAATTTAAAATTATTGAAGACCCAAAGAGCTTTTATTTATATAGATTATATTTATTGATATTTGCCATGTTAGAAAAACTGAGAAAATTTAAAACGTATTCATTTAAAAACACCATTCATTATATATTAAACATGAATTTTTATGAAAAAGATCTTTTTCTACAGGAAAATAAAAATTAGTACAAATGGCCTTGTTTTATATTTTTGTAGTCTATTTTAAATTTTTTAAATGTTTATTTTTGAGACAGAATGTGAGTAGGGAAGGGGCAGAGAGAGAGGGAGACACAGAATCTGAAGTAGGCTCCAGGCTCTGAGCTGTCAGCACAGAACCTGATGCTGGCCTCGAACCCATGAGCTGTGAGATCATGACCTGAGCCGAAGTTGGATGTTTAACCACTGAGCCACCCAGGAGCCCCTGTAGTCTATTTTAAAAGAAGACTCTTAGATGCTCACATCTGCTTTTATATTCAACCTGTTGTGATATGTTGCTTTGTTTGAAGTATATGAAGAGAACCAGATCTCACACAGAAATGAAGCTGAAAAGAGGAAGAACATTTAAATAGCCTTTCTGAAAACTGCATATTCTTCTTTGATACTGAATCAGATTTAGTTTCTTAAAGATTAGATGGTAACTGAAATCATATTAGTAAACTTCTCATACTCGTTACATTAAAATTCATTGGTCTCTCTTCCACTATAAGTGGATCTTTTTACCCAGGCATGATTCTATAATATCATGTAAGTATTAGTCATCTGGAATATATTGATTCCCTAAGTTATACAGATATTCCAAATATTTACATATTTCTTTAGCATATCAAAAAATATTTCTTAATGTCACCACTGATCTCATCAGCAATAAAGTCTTTAAGTATCAGAAAAATATCAAGCTCAATGTGGCAGGTCCAAATTTCCAACACATAATTTTTGCTTTAAAACTCAAACCTTCCCATTGGCAAGAAATACGATAGGCTCACTTCATTTCAAAAAAAACACCTGCCAAATATGTAAGTCTGAGAGCCCATACTTTGTCAGTCATTTTTCTCAAGTAAAAATGGTGTTCCTTGAAAAAAAGGGTTAGTTCAGTTTGCATTCAAATAGTCACACAAGCACTATTCCTTGAGATACAGTATTTCCACATACAACAAACATGTTTTATGTATACTTCTCATTTCATCACGTAAAATACTACAAAGACATGTAAAGTTGGAGATTTAATAAAGTTAATAAATTTTACTGCTTCATCAAACACCTTTTTATATAGAATTGACACTTTTTTCCTACAAGCGTATACTGGTGAAGAACACAATGACTAGTAAGTACAATCAGGTGCCACTGCCTTGATTTAAATGAAGGCATTAGCAGCTCTACTCCTTACTGCTTTTAGATTATCACTGCAAATACTGACACAGTGGAAAAGGCAAGTAACAATATGATTTTGATGACAGATACTTTTGGAGATGCCCTGGAAGGGTCTCAAGATGGGTCCACACCTGAGAACCCAGGCCTTTTAGCATTCGTGAACATAACTCACCCACCTAAGTTTTGTCAAATATCTTACTCCGTGGGCTACAGAGAAAATTTCCAAACTCACATAAAAGCAATCACACAGTGTCAACAGTTGTTCTTATCAATTTAACCACCTAGATAGAACTATTTATAAATATCTCATATATTCCATACCAAAATCTGCTAGCTTTAATTCTCCTTTTTCATTAATGAGTAGGTTCTGTGGTTTCAAGTCTCGGTGCAATACCTTTCTTCTGTGGCAATATGCCAAACCACGTAGAATTTGGTACAAAAACAGCTACAGAAACAAACAGAAATTAGTCTTACAAATAATAAGATATACTTTGGTAAGCATGCTGTGGTAAACAAAAAACAGGCTTAGGATAGTCAAAGAAAAAAAACGCATCCTTAAGTACAAAGCCTTTCCTTATGTAGTTTTCTGAATTTTATAATTTATTATTCTATTTGAAGCATCTATTTTCCAGTCTGACAATTTCTATGAAAATAAATATTAAAAATAAAGTGAAATGAAGCTTTGTCCCCATAGTAATCATCCATTTGTTATAGAAAATGATTTAAAATAAAAAATATATATAAAATATATCCTCATAAGCTTACAGGCCTACTAAGCCTTATAGGTTGATTATGATATTCTGGCAAAACAACTAACCAACCTCTACCCATCCACCAAAAATACCTGATCTGGGACAGTGTCTTTATTTTATTTATTTATTTTTAAAAAAAATTTTTTTTCAACGTTTATTTATTTTTGGGACAGAGAGAGACAGAGCATGAACGGGGGAGGGGCAGAGAGAGAGGGAGACACAGAATCGGAAACAGGCTCCAGGCCATCAGCCCAGAGCCCAACGCGGGGCTCGAACTCCCAGACCGCGAGATCGTGACCTGACTGAAGTCGGACGCCTAACCGACTGCGCCACCCAGGCGCCCCTGGGACAGTGTCTTTAAAATAAGGTAATGGAATTGGTGGTTTTATAAAAATTCTGAGGTGTCAGAGAGAATGGTGCTGCATAGCCCTGGCAAATTACGTGCTATAAAAATAACCTAAACCAGCTTCTATCACCCACCCTCTGGGTACTTTACTTTCTGCACCTCCTACTCAGCCTTCAAAATCTGCTATGATTCAGAAAAGGGAATTAGCACAGTAGAGCTCTGAATGATTGTCTGAAAAAAGCAATTCCTAGATTTTGGTGGAAAAAAGGATGTGGAACACAGAAGGTCTTCAATTCTCTGGAGTTGACAAAGAAGAGTCTCAAGTTCAGAGGGTCTAAGAATATACCCTTGGTTTACTTGTAGGTAGAAAACACAGCATTAGAACATCAAGAATAAGTCAGTGCAGGAGGGGAAAAACAGCCCAAAGAAATTCCAAGCAGCAGTCTCCACACACTACATATTTATGTTTTGAAAACTCTAAAATTATGATTTCTATATATTCCTGTTACTTTCTATGTTTGGAAAATCTAAGGGCTATTTAAACAAAACTTAAAATGACACACTAAAGCATACCTTTACATTGTGCATACTCATGATGTTTCCACAGTCATCCATGTACTGTTTTAGATCTTTATCCTAAAAAAATATAGTGCTTTACTATGTGACACATACTTCCCAGAAGGCATGAATGATTTACTTAATAGTATTTAATTTTTAAAAGTGTTTTTTTTTTTTTTTTTGAGTAAAGATATTGAATGTACAACACATAATTTAATTAAATACTGATAATTAAACAATAATGCCCTGGAACTGTTAAAACACTCAATTTCCTATGTTTTATTACAGCAAAAGTAAATACTGAATTTTTGTTAAATGCTTACCAGATATTCAAATACCAGAGTCAAAGATTTATCTGTGTGAACAATGTCATGTAAGGTTACTATATTTGCATGTTTTAGATCCTTTAATAGTGAAACTGGAAAACAGAAAAGAAAGTCAATTATTCAGTCTGCAGTAGCCAGACTATAAAAACCTGAAGTATAACACATGAACTGATTGAGTTTAAAATTCTCTTAAGTGTAAAACAATAATTCACCAAGAGGACCTGTAGTACAAATTTTAATAGAATTCAGTTTTTTCTTTTCTTTTATGGTTTTGAGTGTGATATTTTTAATATTTAAAATTGTCCTCCATATTACAATAATATTCTCCATAACTGTTTTTTTCTCAAATACTAACTTACTGAGACTTCTAAGATCTAGATATAGTTGAAGGTACCAGCTGTTTTCCTTCCAAATTGCTAATCGGTTTCTTCAAGCCATTTTCTGGATTATCTTTTTAAAGATACAGAACTTTTTTTACTTTTTTTCTTTTAATGTTTATTTATAGAGAGAGAGAGAGCATGAGAGCAAGACCATGCACACGAGCAGGGGAGGGGCAGAGAGAATCCCAAGCAGGCTCCATGCTGTCAGTGCAGAGCCCAACGCAGGGTTCGACCTCACAAACCATGACATCGTGACCCGAGCTGAAACCAAGAGTTGGAAGCTTAACCGACCCACCCAGGCCCCCCTAGATAATTAACCTTTTTTAAAAAAATGGTATCATACTATTTACATTTGGTATATACTAATTTATAGTTGCTTTTTCCCATAGATAGTATATAACATTTCCCAATGTCAAATATTTACCTATGACCATAATTTTTAATGACTTCATAGTATTTCACCATAAGCTATACAATAATATAATTATGTTAAATAATTTGCCTTTATTAAATATCAGCTTTTTTAAGGTCTAAATATATCTCCCAGTCATCTACTATTTCTATATCTGAGCTCTTTTTACTTATAAAAAATGAACTCTTAGTATGCAGCTTTGGTTTTAAACCTATATAAATTCTATGTAAACTCCCTTATACATTTTGTTCACAAAGATCAAATTTTACCTTCTCTTATAGCTGTGCAGGGTGCACCTTCTTCATGTTCCAACCGGATCTCTTTTAACGCCACCAAATTCTCTGTCAATTTACTTCTTCCTTTATATACTGTTGCATATGTACCCTATAAAATATATTTTGGAAAGACACATCAAAATATCATAAGAGTCTATCTATAGAATCTATACAATAAAGAGACCTAATTAAATTCCTAATTTGTAAGCGCATGTTAAAGTCCATTTTGTAGGGAAAACTCTACAATGATTAGTATTGGTTGTTTTTTTTATAGCTAAGAGGACTTTCACTACTATCTGCAGAGCCTCCATATTCTTATAACCCTATGGAGTGCCTCAAAATATGAAAACATACGGAGAATATTTAATTTACTTTTTGTACTTTGTATAGATTAACAACTCGATCAGTAGCTTCAGAATCCAAGGCACTCTATGTGTAATGGTATGTGGACTGGAGGCAATTAACTGAGCATATTAACTGAAAACTGAAAATGTACTAACACATTGTTAAATTAGAAAAATTTTATTGGTTCTCAGACTTACCAGAATTTTTATACATTCACTCTCCCTTAAAGAACAAATATATTCTATGGATTTCTTCTATCATAGCCCTCAAACTCTCTTAAGGCTTCCTGATTAGCTAATTCCATTATTTCTGGCTTGCCCTTTCTCACCCTGGGAGGAAGACCACTTCAAACTTAGTCAACACTAGTACCAAGTTCAAGAAAATCAAAGTCTTATTAGCCCCAAATTTCCTTAACCTTCAATGACATGTGTCTTCATCTTTAGAGATAATATTTTGACTCTTCGCAGGTTTGAACTCATGCAATTTTCCCACATCACAGTTCAGACAGCAGACTGCTAACAAATAGATGCCTATTTTGTTACCAAGAGAGCACAACATCTTATGCTGCAATAAAAAATTACAAGCTATAAAAAATACTCATTTCCTCTCAAACTGATGGCATAATTTCAAGAATGGAAGGTTTTTTTCCTTCTAACATTCTGTTGCCTTTTCAGTACAACATATAATCTTTTAGACATCGGTGCTTACATCTTTTTTTTCTAGGTTGGTAAAAACTGTGGACTAATTGTGGAGTTTAGATAATGAACATGTCTTATATTTTTGAGATAAGTATGTACTTACCTCTCCAAGTTTTTCCAATTTGATATAGGTTTCCATTTTTCCAAACCCAATTTCTGACTGAAAGCAAACAATTATAAATTTAGTATTCCTGAAATTTCAATTCATTTCTTCCTCAGTATCTTTTTTAAATGTTATTCTTTTTTTTGAGGTGCACTTTATTTTTATTTCTATTTTTTAAGGTAAGCTCCACGCCCAACATGGGGCTTCAACTCATGACCCCAAGATCAAGAGTCACATGCTCTACCACTGAAACAACCAGGCACCCCCTTCCTCAATTTCTGAAACTTTCCTGCTTTAAAGAGTGTCTTAAAATAGAAAAATCTGACTATAAGTAAATTGTTGAACATCTGTCAAGTTTTAAAATATACCCGATGTTGGAATATTCAAAGGTTCAAAAACATCAAAGTTCACAATTAAAACTGCCAACCCATCTTTTTATATAGATGGTTAACATTCTGCTGTAAAAAGTTTTGTTTTATTTTAAGACCCTGAGATTTTAAGATACCACAGGCATTTTAGGATACTAAGATTTTTATAAAAGACAACTACATGATTTTTTTTTAAACAAAATTGTGAAGTAAGTAATTTTCTGACACATTTTCATTCATCAATCTTCAAGTTCCCTAGGAAGGCCTGCCAACAACAAAATTCTATTTGTTTCAGGTTTTCTAACCAAATGTAATGAAAAAGGCAAACTGCAAGTCACACTCCGTTATAGATCAGGAAACTAATCCAGAAGCAGTAAGTCTAAATCTGACACCCTGCACTACATCAAAAGTCTTTAAAAGTGAGTTCTTTTAAACCATTGCTTTTAAACCCTGAACTTGTTTGCCTCACTTTTGTACGGAGTCAATAAATGAGGTAGATGGAATACACCCAAATATGTAAAGGAAACTAAATATTTAAAAACTAAAAACAAAACAAAACAAAACAAAATAAAAGATTTAAGAAAAAAGGAAAAATATAGAGATGAAAACTTAGGGACTGACAGAGCAAAAACAGAAAAAGTTAACAAGAGAGAATAAGAATTTTCTTAAAATTGCTTCCTAGTACCCCTTCTAGTTAGTGAAAAAGGCAATAATCTAAAGGTTTGCTTCTCACCTAGAATGGTGTTAATGCCCTTAAATGAGTAGCCAGTGAAAGGAAATATTTAGTCCAATTCTGGAGGTTCAAATATGCAATTTCTCCAGAGGTGCTGAATAAAGCAAAAATGATACTTGATGGTCTGACTTAACATCATTTACCATTCTGAACAGTAGGGGTAAACTGCCCAAAGCTGAAAGGCCAAAAATAGCAAGAGGTCCCTCAAAGAGATTTTTATCTTTTTAAAAAATTTTATTGTTTTTAAAACAATAAACATTAACACTGATTTTGTCCTTCTGTTATGATTTATATAAAGTTAAAAGACTAGAAAAACTTTATGTCCAAAGTACTTAATTCAATTTTGCTAAACTAATTAAAACTTTGGTCACAGGTGGTATTAATGGATGACTGCAAAACTTCTTTTTGCACTCTTTAAGACTTTTTATGTGGTATTTTCAAAATATTTTAGTTAAAAAATGAGATTCTGGAACCATCATACACCATCCATGCCTGTATTGTCTTCCATATGACTCAGAGATATTAAGTCCTTGCTTCCTATTATCAATAACTTGCAGAATAAAACAGTAAAACTGTAACACTTTCTGAATACAAATACAGTTTTTAGCTTTAATAGGGAGAATGTGGCAAAGAGCCCACTACCTGGTACATGTGAACCTGATCCTGAATACTCTTTTAGCATATGTTGTGTTTTATTTATAGCCTATTTAAGATATGATCTTAACACCTCTGAAAAAATGCTAACTGCCAGCATCACATAAACTATGGTGGAATGTATTTATTTTCTTACACCTATCTCTAGAATTCATTAAACTCACAAATAGGAACTACTGCACTTTTGCCATGAATTTTAAGTCTTGTGTCATATCTTTAACGAAGGGGAAAAAACCATATTGATGATAAATGGAAAACAGCAAAAACAAAACAATGAATGTCTCTGAGAAAAATAAAAATACCATCTATAATAATGAGAACCACAAAGAAAAATATGACTGCAAGGCAGAAAGTTTTTCTTATTAGGAGTTGGGAAATTTTTTTATTCATTCTTTTATATTAAAATACTAGCATTCTCTAAAAACATCAGATATACAATGGTCCAGTGGCTATGACAAAAATGTGGACATTTGATTTAAAAATTATATAAGTGGACTACAAATTCAAGACTATAAAAATAAAAATGTTACTGAGATTACTATATCCTATGAAGTATATAAGAAATAAACAAAGAGATAATCAAATGTTAATAATAGCAAAGTCATTTGTCAGAGAATGACATTCAGTGAGATCATTAACATATGCTGAAAGTCTACTTTTTAAAAAGGAGGTAAATACTAGACTATAATTATGCTATGAAGTTGAATTTAAATTTGAATAATCAATCTATAAGATAAAGAGCATTACTGAATTTCATCACGCAGGCTGGCAGAGAATTCAGACAAAAGGCACAGTTACACTAGTGAATTATATGCCGGAGTAAAGTGTTTTTACCTCATTGCCCATTTTAATAATTTCCAACCCAGGCTTTACTAATTACATTTAAATATTAGTTACTGAATCTTTAAATGGAATTTTTAGAAAATTTTGCTTGCATTTTTATCTGCTGAACATGACAAGATTAACAATAGATATAATGACTAGCTTGTTGACATGCTCTCCTACAGAAATTATTCAGAGGACAAAGGACAAAGCTCATTTATTCAACATTTACCAAGTACAATGCTAGGTACTGGGGATATAGTGAAGACGACAGAAATTATTCCTGCTTTCATGAGTTCACAATCTAGACCGAGTTCCATCATTAGATTATTTTCCAAGTTTTGTAAAGAAAAAAAAATAGCTAAAGAAATGGAACAGTAAGTTTCATATTTTAATAACATATAAAAAACCTCCTTAATTCTACTTTCCAAACAAATAAAGATATTTTTTTTCTGTTACTTCATTGTTTCAAGGGAATACCTGGCTTTTTGGCAGCCCCAAATTCCTGTTCAGATGACTCTTAGAGCATAAGCACATGAAAAATTTTTTTAAATCCAAGATGAACTATAAGTTGCAAAAGCCTTCCTATATAATTCACTGTAATCTGGAAGTGGTATTTGAGCATTATGGGAAATTTCTGGATTACTCTGGGTCTGCCAACATAATCACTGTATCACAGTTGTAAAGATGTCTTTTTTTCTTCAATTTCAATTTTTAATTTAAATTTAGTTAATTAATATTGATTTCAGGTGTAGAATTCAGTGACTCATCACTTACATATAACACCTAGGACTCATTACAAGTGCTGTCCTTAAGATGTCTTAACACGCTAGCAATATAGTCTGAACTTAAAAACAAGTGAAGTATATGCAAAAGTTTTATAGATGTCATCCTAAAAGTGAACATATATAAGAAACACTGGGGACAAAGGGAGATTTTTTCAAACACTCATTTCCTTCCTTGTAACAATTATGGAGTTGATGTTACTGATAGAAATATGGGGGGCAGAAAAGGGATTGTGAACCTCTATTCTATTTGGTAGTTTTCTTACAAAAATTGCTGTTACCATCAGTATGGATAGTATCTTAATTGTGTATATAATATGCCAATGGTAAGTTAAATTTTGAGTGGATTTTGAGCCTAACTTTCACACTCCATAATATACTTATTATTTCTGAGACATCAGGACTTGATACCCTATTTCCTCACCTATTATTAGAAATAAAAAAGAAAGGACTACGTAAGCTACATATTGCTAAAGCCATGAATGAGGAATCCAACTCATTGTTAGGCACAAGCAGATTCTGTAAATGTGTAAAACCTACAATTTCAATATAATGAGGCAAATTTTCATATACAGACTTTCAATCTACTAAAACTGCACATAACAGTCTCACAAATTTCCACTGGGCATGCCATCATTCTAAGTACATCAATGCTCTAATGCATCATGACTATTGGCATATGGGATTTCCACTAATCTGATGTTTAACAAAATATGTTGAGTTAGAACATCCATTTCTAATCAACCATAAATGAGTATTAAGTAACACTTCACCAATCCAATAACCAATACCCTTAATATGAGATATGACAACTAAATGTGGTGTCCTAGATAGGAAACGGGGACAAAGAAAGGACATTAGCTGAAAACTGGGGAAATATGAAAAAAGTGTGGAGTTAATAGTAATGTACCAAATGTTGGTTTCCTTGGTTGTGACAAACACACTACAGTAATGTAAAATGTTGATAATAGTGGTAACTAGGTATGTGGTATATGGGAACTCTTTAGATTACCTTTTAAATTTTTCTATAAGTCTAAAACCACTCTAAAATAAAAATAGAAAGAATTCAGTTAAGAGAGGGAGACTGAATATATGTGTGTATAGAGATGATTATTTTTTTGAGAAAGAGAGGATGAGCAGTGGGGAGGGCAGGGAGAGAGAGATAGGGAGAGAGGGAGGGAGACAGAGAGAGAGAGAGAGACAAAGAGAGAGAGAGAGAGAGAGAGAGACAGAGAGAGAGAGATTGAGAAAAAATATCAAGCCGACTCCATGCTCCACACAGAGCCCGACACAGGGCTCAATCTCACAACCCTTGGGATCATGACCTGAGCCAAAATCAATAGTCATATATATGCTCAACCAAGTGAGCCACCCAGGGGCCTCAGCAATTACAAATATTTTTAAAGCATCCCGAGCAGATGAGATAGGAAGGAAAACTCCTCTATATTAAAAGAAGGAAAGAATAGAATGAGTAGAGGTGCAGACAGATTTGCACACTTGTTATTCAAAAAATGAGGAGGTTTCTGATAAACAGCTTCTCTCTTCTTTGAAATCATCTGCGTAGAGTGACGGGGAAGAGGAAACCAGAGAAAGGCAGTATAGAGCAGCCAAGCAATACTGAGGGTTCATTTGAGACTGATGATCATGAATTTAAAGAAGAACCAATTAGCCCTATTGTATGTCTTTCTTCAGAAA